GTTAAAGAAAGTAAAGCATCGGTTGATTCACACATTCATACAAATAATAATTTAGTTGAAAAAGATTTGGAAACATTGACTGATGTGTTGGGTATCGCAGATAATACACAAGTTTCTGAAAACAGCGATATTGTCATCGATTCTCATGAAAATAACACAAATGAATTGAAATATTCCAATATTAGTGAAGACATTACTACAGACTTTACAACAATTTATAATTTAGAAAATAATCAAATAGAAGAAGAAATAATTTGTGGTGATTTGGAGACATTGACTCCTTTGATAAGAGATACAAATAACGAAAACAAAAACAATGACTATTTGATTGATGACTGCAAACCATTGGATCAATTGAGTCAACAACAGGAGACGTGCCTTCAGTCCGACGACTTGTGCTTAAATCTCGAAGAAGAGAATCGCAAGGAATTCCATAAGAGAAACGAGACCTTAGATAAAGTGGTGGTCAATGACGACGAGAAACTCTCGACTGTCAAAGAGTCGGGTCTTAAACAAAACAATTCCTCACATTTAATAAAATCGCAAGTATTGAGAGAATCCGCTGAAAGTAAACAAACAATTGATTCAAAACAAGTGATGACTATTGAGGATAATTCCGTAAATTCTGATCCTTTATCGAAAGAATCACACAAAAAATATGTAGGAATTGATAGAATTAGTTCCAACCAAATGGACAATGAAATCGATGGCATCTTTTATACACAACAGCCAGAGATAGAGACAACGGTTAGTATTAAACCAATTCAAATAAATACGTGTGAAATCAATTCAAATAATAAGATACCAAAAAACCAGAAAATTGAAACAAATAATGAAAATCATTCAAATATTACTAAAAATACAATCAATTTTAATATCGAAAATTTGGGAAATATTAATGACAAAGATATTGTGGATCCAATTGAGACAAACCAAATGACATGTTCTATGAGTTCAAATCTTTGCGATAATATGTTAAATGAAATGCCAACAAACGTCGACAACATATTCAATGAAAACAATGACAATAATATGTGGATTGAAAATAATAGTCAACAATTCTGTCTGAGAAAAGATGAATCGTTGGCAACGGATGAGATAATACCGATTCCTAAATCATATGATTCTTCAAATATAACCACAACTCTTGGATCGGCTGAAGAAAGTCCGGCGAATGACAATTGTATGAACACTCATATTGTTATAAATAAAGAAACAAAATGTTTGTCCAAAAATCAAAGAAATAGAAAAAAGAAGAAAAATAATCAAAAAGTGAATGATATTAAAGCATCGACTGATCCGAGTATTTGTAAAAATGATGAATTGTTTGTTAAAGATATGGAAACATTAAATGACAATCAAGTAGTGGTTATCGAAAAGAATACACAAGTTTGTGATAACAAGACTATTGTCACCGATTCTTATGATAACAACACAATCACTGGTGAAATGGAGAGTGAATTGAGTTCAATGAAATGTTTGCATCCAAACGAAGGCAATGATCAGAATTTAGAAGATATTCATCACAGAGAAGAACATTGCAGTGATTTGGAGACATCGACTCGTTTGAAAAGAGACATTAATGATGAAAACCTATACGACGCCGACATATCTGACAATATAAATAATGGTATTGAAAGTGACAACGAAGACAATGTTTGGTTAAATGATATCCAAACCAGATTTGGACCAATTCTGGAGAGAGACAAACTCGAAACCAATGACAAAGATTTATTATCTATACGTTTGAATCAGTTGCTCGAACTCTTGTCTGAAGTCAATAATATCGATATAACAAAAGCAAAACAATTGAATTCTCGAAACAAAGTCAGAATATTCTGTCAAAAAGAAATTAAAAGACTAAACGAGAAATTGATAAAAGTATGTATACCGTATTCTCTCACGTAAACCACCATGGGGTGTCAAGTCTCTGACTCGGGTAGAGTTCAAAATAGTATGGGGTGTTACCTAGGTAGTTCCCCATCCCGTCTAAGAAATGGACATAATACCCCATGGGTTGATCTCTCAAATTAATAGCAATGAATACATTTATATATCAAATTCAGTGATTAATTATAGATTTCAATTAAAACAATTTCTATCACATTTAATTATCTCTAATAATGTATTAGTACTTTAAAACAATACTACCTTCTAATTAAACTTTTCACATTTGACTCATTTTTTTGAGTCAAAATAGCATGGGGTGTTATCTAGGTAAGCCACCACCCTCTCTAAGAAACTTAGATAACACCCCATGGGGGTTTATGTTAAAGAATATGGTAAAATCATATCATTTGTAAGAATATTCTTAACATTGTCATTGTATTTTATTTAACAGTTAAGAAGTGAATCGCCAGAACTATTAGCTACAAATAAAGACACTCAACGGTGAGTACAAACATATGTAATTATATAACAAATGATTACAATTTGACTATAATTTGCACAAAAGGGCGCCGAAACGAAACTTATTAAACTACATGAGCCGAGCATTGAAAGCGTCGATACCAATTCAAGCCCTAATGTTCATACTATTAGGCGCCGCATCACTGGTGCCCACCGTTGACGAGGACTACAGCTGTCAACTTATGAACAATTTGTTGCATTCATTTCAACCGATGCTCGACTACCCGAACGGTCCGCCACCCGTCTGACCATATAATGGCCTTACAGTCAACTCTCACAATATAGTCATATATAGAGTACAATCGGCTCTTTAGTACTAATCATGCAATCCTTACAGTGCTTACAGTTTAGCTGTGATTTGATATTTAACTTATATTATAAT